TTACTCATAGGACACACAAATATAAAGGGAACAGATAATGAAATAAAAATTTTAAATTTCCTTTTGATGAAAAAACATTCAGTTAAAAATCACACTCTAGATTAAAGACATTTCTGATGCACACAATGAAGTAAGAGCACATCTCCAGAGGATCGAGAAATCCAAAAGAAAAGGACAGTCCAGATGATGGTGAAAGCCTGACTAGACTTCCCTTTCAGAGCGGTTGGCACAACCAGCAAGCTTATTAGCACTGAGGGACAGGCTGGAGGGAATCATCATGGAATTCCCAATGGAATAAAGGAGAGAATTTTTGGTTAATTTAAAACATTTTGCTGTGAAGTGTATGGAATTTTACAGAGGAGCTCAGTTTTATATTCAATGATGTATACACATTTGGTTTCATCCCATTGACTGCCATCACCTCCGTGAGCAGCACTGAGCCCACTTCTTTGTGTCCTGTTCCCATTCCCCTCCTTTCCTAAGCCTGCTCAACGTTGTCACTGGGGAACAGCTGCCCTTTCACTATCAAATGGGTGAGTTCTCTAAGGTGTGAGTATCCCGCATTAGTGCAGTGGTCCTCAACCTTCCTAATGCCAGGATCCTTTCATACAGTTCCTCATGATGTGCTGACGCCGCAACCATAAAATTATTTTCGTTGCTACTTCATAACTGTAATTTTGAATTGGGCGACCCCTGTGAAAGGGTCGTTTGAGCCCCCAAGGGGTCGCGACCCACAGGTTGAGAACCACTGCTTTAGTGTTACTATTCCCCTGATGCACCTATTCTTCGGTGGAAAATTCCACCAGGGAAGCGAGTTCAGTTACAGATCTGAATGGGCCAGGGACTCAAGAGTAAAGAGGGGTTTTCCCACAAGTCCCTAGCTGAGGCATAATCCGGTTATCATTTAGGATTTTAGGTTTTGGTCCATCTTTTTCTCCCCACTGTACTTGGGACCTCCTTAATGATCTATAGCTACACTCAAACAGCCACACAAATGAGTCTCAAAAATGTAACCAAATACAAGAATTGGGCACAGGTTAAATACATACATCTAGTCTTATTTACAGAAATTCAACTTGGCAAAATCAGGTTAGAAGTTTGGGAGAGTCTGGGGTGTATACTTAGATGGTGAGGATATAAAGAAAAGCAAGTAGCCAGTTTCCATGGTAATCATCATCACGGTTCCATTTTAGGGAAACGTAGTGGTGCGGAGTAGAAGCCCTGGTGTCTTAGTGGGTACATGTTGGGTTGCTAACCAGAAGATCAGAAGTTCAAATCTACCAACTGCTACCCATTGGAGAAAGATGAAGCTTTCTACTCCTTTAAAAAGTTATAATTTCAGAAACCCACAAAACAATATATTGAGTAAAATATAGGCTTTAATAATGAATGGGCAGTGGCAAGAGAACTAGGAAGGGAGATGGGATGTTCAGGGCTGTTTCACTCAGTAAATGTCCTGGACTTCTTGCCACAGCAGTAAATATGCATGTGTGGAATCATTTTAATGGTAACTCATAATCACATTTATGTGTTCAATATTTCCCAAGAAGTGCCTAAGAAAATGAATCCATGAATATGGATCTTCTTGGCACTGGTGCTATAAATGATAAAATACAGTTCATATACATTTAAATATTCAGTGAGTATGAAATTCACTTAGTATAGTATTTTGCCATAATATTTACATACAACACGATTACACATTTAAACATATACTTACATATTTTACATATACAAGTGTCCTAAAACCAATTTAGAAAAAAATTCCTTCAAAATAGCCCATGCCTTCACATCTTGGATATCCATGATGTCCAACCCCCTCACTGTATTTGTTTTATTGGGCCCATAGACAATGTGTTTTTGAAGTGTACCTGTGTTTGCATCTTTGTACCTTCCCCACCCAAGAATGCCCCCATGGGACAGAGTAGAACTGCATCAAGGTGTTTCAGGGGGCTGAAAGTCTTCATGGAAGCAAGCTGCCACATGAGGACAGCTGGTCCATTGGAGCCACAAGCCAGGTAGCTAGCAGCCCAGTGGTCAAAGCACAGGACCATCAGGGCTCTTCTTGGTGCCCTGGCTCCGCCCTACATTCTTGGAAGGGTGTTCTGGTGGGACAGGGGTTCCACGCTTGGCTACCAACCAAAAGAGCTACCATTCAAACCCACCAGGTGCTCCACAGGAGAAAGAGGGGGTGATGTGCTTCCCCATAAAGGTTTACAGCCTTGAAATCTCTGCTTTGAAGTTCCACTCACTCCTTCAGGCTCCCTATGAGTCTGAGATGTTAGTTGGTGGTGGTTTAAGTTCTTGGAAAGCAATTTTTAAATAGTCCCTTAATTAATTTAGCATGTAAGCAACGGAACAGCTAACTGTAGGTAGAAATACTTTTCCCTTGAACATGATTAGACTTCATTGAATAGGGCTAGTGCCACCTGCATTTTTTGGAATTTTTCTTCTTACAAACTTTATTCCAGCTTAATTGCCCAAAGATAATTGGATAAATCAAAATACAACTATATCTTTGCCTCAAAAGACTATTAAACATTTGAAACCAGACATGCAATTCTTAAATCAGCCACATGTCATCAACATTTTATCTATGTGAATTCATGAATCGTCTAAAAGTCTCTGGTGTAGGACGGGACATGACATCACAATTTGTGACGTAGTCACCAAAGACCACCCATTAGTTTCTCAGTGCAGTACCTGGAAGCCCTCATGCGTTATTTTTACTGATAACTCCTTGATTTTCTCAACAGGCAAACCTCAGCTTTTCCTGTTGTGTGGCCCCACTCCCTGTCTTTGTCTCTTATTTAAAATGTCTGATAGAGTCAACAGTGCTATCATGGACTGAAAGTCTATTTTCAGTCCATGATTTATGCCTGCATGATGGTCAAGTCCAATTCAGCATAAATGGCAGCTCCTGAACATGGAAACACCCTCTATCTTGTTGATAGGGAGTTGGGGGAATGAGGTGTTCTGCTAACATTTATTCACCTTATATTACTCCAACGTGAAAATCTTAGGTTGGGATTTGATGGTACTTGGGCCCTTTAGCTTGCCTGTAAGGCCTCTAAAATTTTATGCAAAATGATTGTCTACACAACTGTCTCATCTCTGAAAAGCACGTTCTGATTTTCAGCACATGCACAGAGGAGTCATTTCCGGCTCCCTCACACTTATCTGTGATCTATAAGGGAAAGGGAAAGGTTTAAGAACTCAGCCTCATCTGTTGACTAAATTAAGTTTCACCTTCCTACTGCTTCTCTAAATAGGTTCTAGAAAATTAAGCCTATTAAATGTTACTGTCTGTAGCTAAGGTGTTTTGGTTTTGCTTTTTTTACATTGACTGAAGGAAACTGTCAAGTTAAAGCAGTTGGAAAACAATATGGAGCCACCTTCTAACAGTCCAGACTCAATTCCCTCTCAGTGCTCTGCCAGGTTCTACAGCAGCCCTCCCCACATCCAAGTCGCCACAGGGGACTCGTTGTCCATCTGATGCTAATCTATGTGCCATGGGAAGGAACCACAATTCTATTTAGAAAGATTCTGCAAAATGTTAGATTAAACTGAGTTAAATAGCCTTTTTTAACTCTGAGTCTCATGCCTTTAAAATATGCATTTGGTATATCTAGAGGGAGAGGAACTATGTTGTGTGTCCCCAAAATTGATTGCACTAGTTTTCATTTTGCTAGACTTTCCCCCAATGCTTTTATCCTAAGCAGGTTGATGGGGAGTTGCGGGAAGGGTCACACCCTCTCACCCATTGCTGTTTGCTAAGAATAGCTTCACTGGGGGTGCAGGGGGGTGGGTAGCGAGAGGGAGGGGGAGAATTTGGAAGATTATTCAAAAAGACTCATAGCTGCCCCCTATGTTTGTTTTCTGAGGATATGCATCTTTATTGGGGCAGACAGCCTCATCTCTCCCAGACTCATAAGATGCAACTAGGGAAAATTCCAATAGTTGAGATGCATACCCACCATTTTAAAATGAATATTCTTATTTAAGGGAGAATAATTATTGGGTCACACTGAGTTATAATTTACTTACCCAATGCTTTCATTTTCTACTGGGGGAACCAAGGCAGAGAGAGGCCTGCTGGCAAGTCAAGGATGATAGCTCTAGAAGGGCTGAAATTTAATTCCTAGTGATGTCCTGTTTAATTCTCATTGCAGGATTGTTTTCTTTTCTCCTCCATGTTGAAATAAAGCCCATGATGGTTAAGAATGTGAAATCCAGAGGAAGATGTATATAAATATAATGTGGACCCAATGTCCTCCCATTGAATACAAGGCTGTCTGGATAGACCACTTTACTTAGGCAGGTGTGTTTGAAGCAGGGGCGCTGGTGGTGCAATGGGTTAACTATGTGGCTACTAATCAATGGCAGGGAATCGGATGAGCTGTGGAGGTGACATCAAGATGATACATGAAGAAGGCAAAAGGTCACTAAAAAAGACAGGAAAGGAAAAGAGCAAAGGGGATGTCAAAGGAACTTTGAATCATGCTCTTGATCATAGTGTAGTTAAGATACACAGAAAAAAATGATTAGGTCAAAGAGCAGAACAGAATATTTCAAATGGCAGCTCAAGACAAAGTAAAATATTATAATGAAATGTGCAATTACATAGAGTTAGCAAACCAAAAGTGGACACACTCAGCCTATATCAAGCTGAAAAGAACTGAAGAAGTTCAAGCTTGGAGTTGCAATACTGAATGAGTCTATGTGCAAAACATTGAGTGATGCAGAAAACATCAAAGGGAAATGGAAGAAATATATAAAGAAGTCACTGTACATAAAATAACTGACTTCAAACCCTTTCAGGAGGTAGCATATGACCAAGAGCCAATGGTACTGAAGAAAGAAGCCCAAGCTTCAGTGCAGGCACCCGTGAAAAGCCACGCTCCAGGAACTGATAGTTTGCCAAGGGAAAGGTTCCAACACGTTTGTGAAGTACTAGGAGCATTCACTGGTTTGTGCCAAGAAATATGGAAGAGAGTTACCTCGCCGACGAAGTGGAAGAGTTTCCTATTTGTGCTCATTTCAAAGTGGCCCAAAAGAATGAGAGCATTGAGCGATATCATTACCGCGACATTCACAGGTGGTGTTCGGAACTGCAAGCAGCTTTGGATGAGGACATGGAACAAGGGGTATCACTGCTGATATCACAGGGGTCTTGGGGGAAAGAAAAGAATATCAGAAAGCAGTTTGTTTGCATTTTACTGACTATGAGAAGGCGTTCAATTACGCGTATCATAGCAAACTGCAGCGAGCACTGAGAAGAAGGGGAATTCCATGACACTTAAATTGTGCCATTGCAGAACAAGAGAATAAGGCATTATTTAAAATCAGCAAAGATTTGTGTCAAAGTTGTGTATTTCACCATACTTCGGTAATCTATATGCTGAGTAAATAATCCAAGAAGCTCAGGTATAGGCTGACATCAAGTACCAGGATTGGATGATGGCTTATTACCAACTTTCTTTATGCAAATGGCACAACTGGGCTTGTCAAAATAAGGAGTAAAGTCAAAATCACAATTTTACCAATAGACAACTTCATGGTAAACAAAGAAAAGATTGAACTCATTAAGGCTTCTTATCTTGCTTAGATCTACAATCAGTGCTCTTGGAAGCAAATCAAGAAAGAAATCAATTCATTGAACATTGAGCAAATCTGCTGTTGCACAAGACCCCTGTAGAGTATTCAAGAGCAAGAGCAGCACTTTGACTACTTGGGTGGTCTGTCCCAGACCATCATGTTTTCCATTTCCTCTTGCAGGAGCTCAGGAGACATCGTGATTATGCCTGGGACTGTGAACAACAGCTGTCTGACACTGCCAGCTGTGCCACCAGACAAAGATGAGGCTCTCTCCTCCTGCAAAGATGTACAGTTTTAGAAAGTCACAGGACAGTTCTCCTCTCTGCCATGAGGTCACCGATTGAGAATGAATGGTTGCGAGTGAAGTTCATATGCATTTTAAAGTTGGGTTTGGCATAAGGAAACAGTAAGAAAAAGGATGCACTGGAATTCTGGATGGCAAGAATATTTGGCAAAGAACATTGAAAGCCCCAGAATGGACTGCCAGGACACATCACCATCGGAATGCTCCTGAGAAGTGAGTGTGGCCAAACTTGGTCTCACATCCTTTGGGCATGTCATCAGGAGAGACCAGTTCCTTGAGAAGGACACTGTGCTCATTAAAGCTGAGGGCTAGTGGAAAAGAGGAAGAATCCCAATGATATGAATTGATACCATCGTTGCAACAATGGGCTCAAACATAACGATTGGGAGGATGGTCCAGGACTGTGTCCTGTTTCCTGCAGTTGGACCTAGAGTTGCTATGAGTTGGACCCAACTCAACAGGATATAAGAACAACTTCTGGCTTCCAGACCCTATAACCCTGTGGCTGCTGTCTGCCCAAAGAAACAGTTGAGAAGGCAAACCTTAGAGGTAGGCATTTTGGGTCCACCTTTGGACATTGATCTCCTGATGTAGTTCAGTCCACCATGCTCAGTGAAACAGATGTTATAGCTCTTTGATAAGAACAAAGGTTGCATGTTTTTTCCATCAGTGATTTTATTAGAAACACAGAATACAAGAGTAACTGAAAGGATGTGCCAGTCAGAACCATAAAGCTTCTACCGGGAGAATCAACAGTACATAAAGAAGACCAGAGTAGTGCCAGGGTCTGCCAGGACTTTGTGAATGGAAACATTTCATTAGGTGTTTCATATTATCCCAGGTAACAAGACTCCAACTCAGCCGTGGTTGAAGGCAGTAGGGAGAAAGGCGATGAGCTGAAAATGAAAAGGACTATTAATGCACAACTACAAAGTAAACTCCATGTAAGATTGAGGGTGACGGATGAGTCTATGCCCAAGCTTTTATGCCTACACAACGAAGTGAATGACGGCATTTTTGCAATTGTCAAAAAAAGAAAAAAAGAAAAGCTAAAAAATAAGTTTAGTTTTAGTAATATTGAGTTTCCTGTTATTTAACCATCTGCATTAGCAAAACTGTTCTTGTCATAGTTAAATCAGATGGAATCTTTCAATCTCTCAACAATTTCTCACCGCTCACTCTTTGTAAAAATAATATCTTACCTTCGGTTGGAGATAAATTTTTATAAGAACGCCCTCACTGCCCATGTCAATGCTCCTGCTACATCCTCAGGGTTTTCCTCCACCTCAGAAATGCAGGAAGGTCAATAGACCTAAAGTACCAAGTCAGCAAAGAAATGGCCTTAACTTCTACTATGTACGCCCTAAACTGTCTCGAATGGAATGGTTAAGGCTAAAATAGAATTAACCAATGCCTGTGACAATGTATTCCTCTGAAAGTACAATATGCTGTTCAGAGGTTGGCTTAAAACTAAGGGTATACCCGTAGTTTGAATGGATGTGAGTCTTTGGGTCATACAAAGGACTATTACTAATTGTGTTGGCAAAGAACATTGAATGTTCCACAGGCTGCCAGAACAACAAACCAATCTCTCTGGGAAGAAGTACAACCAGAATGCTCCTTAGAAGAGTGTATGGTGAGACTTCATCGCAGCTGATTGGTCATGTAAGCAGAAGGGACCAGCCCCCTGGAAAGGACATCCTTTATGTCTAGAGGGTCAGCAACAACAACAACAAAGGCAGCTCAAGACCCAGACAGAGGAATGATTCTGACGATGGCCAAGGACCAGGCATCATTTTCATGCACTAAAGGTGGCTCCAACTCAGAGCTTACTCAATGTGACTAACAACCTCACTGAATGTACTGGTTCTATTTCAATTGGCCATAACAAGCTGCAAGATTTGGTAATGACCTTAAAGGGTCACTAAAATTTCAACTGTGAATGAAATTTAGTAATGATCAAAAGGAAATGCTAGCATTTGTAGAGTCAACTGTTGCCCTAATTAAGCTATCTTGGGTGTGAGCTGCCCACAGACACTGACGTATATGTCCTATCAGTACCCATCTACATTATTTTCACTTTTATGTGAATTAGGTGGGGGGGGGTTCCAGTGCAGGTACCTTCATTTGTACATATTTCATTCAACTCATCCACGGTAACCCCTTGAATGTATCCTTACTGATCCCACTTCCTCCCTGTGTTGCCTGTTTCTAGGCCTCCTCTCCAACGTCTTACAATTTTGTCCTTGGACAATGCTGTGCTTTTTCTCTAAAAAGGTTGATTATTCTATCTCAGGTGACTAAGGGCCATTTGGGAGGGGTGGAAGGTGGGTCTCACAGGGCTATCTAATCAGGAAATCTAGTCTTGTATGACTTTGAGCCCCATCCCATAATTTTCACCCAATCTATTCAGGACGTCATCTGATCCTTTTCAGAGGTGTTGGTGGTGGCAGCCAGGTCCCACTCTAGTTCTTTCAGTCTGATTGTAGAGACAGCTACATGCCTGGTCAACTAGGTCACTCAACCAGTTGTTTCCACGTGTTTTTTGCTTTTCAACACTTTTTCCTCTGGATGTGGAGAAACCAATTGTCACAGCTTAGATAGCAGTTCAAGCTTTAAGCAAGCTTCTGCACTTAACAACTTTCAATACCGTATATCCTCGAGTATAAGACAACCCAAATATCAGCTTAGGCACCTAATTTTACCACAAAAACTACATTTAAAATGTGCTGAAAAACCCTGCTTATACACGAGTATATACAGTAATTTAAAGTATAAATCTTTCTACATGCTAAGATTCTGTTTCCATTGGCTATCTTTCTATGAATTGGTGAATTTATTACTACAGAAAACAAACAGCAAAACTAAACTTTTTTAGAAAAAGTGTTCCTAAAGGCATTGTGGTTATGGTCCTCTCTCTGAATGTCATTCATTGTAAAGCATTCCCCCAAGCTCTGGCTGCAAATGAGTTGGTTGAATTCTCGCTTGTTACTCAAGCCACATCCCACGTTTAGATTTCAGACCATTTTCTCATGTTAGGCTCCTATTTTTACAACCACCACCGTTCTTTAACTAGCTGATTCCATATTTGAACTAGAAAACACAGACTTCTGTATAATCGGAATACTCAAATAAATCACATTCCTTGACTTCACAGACCACAGAATTTCAAAACACTCAGCTGTGGGCTGTTAGCTGCTGTTGCGTTGACTAACTTAGAGGCTATGGCACAATCAGAACATGGGAAGGGAGGCAAGGGTATCTATGCATTTCCTCTGTGATGAAATACAGTCGGACAAAAGATGAACTCTGTTCTCACTCGTGTCCTGCCGGTCAATGACTTCACACCGTTAAGAGGCACTCAAGTGGGGACATTTGAATGTAGGAGCATCTTCTTTGGGGTTGGGTTCTCTTTTTAAATGTTTATGATTACCCCCTTTATGATGAAGCTATTCAGACTTCTAAGACTTCTTCCCTTTTGTCCCCTGCACCGATTTTGAAGGTAGACGTTACGCCAATACACGAGGAGTGCTTATCATGAGAACTGTCACACATGGACATCCATCTTTTACAAGAAAAAGTCTGCGATCATTGTATCTTAAGAGTGAAACATTAGCAAAGTGTAACCACCAGGTGGATATCCCTGTCTTCACCTTCCACCACCAGTACCTATCCTGGACCATATTACTTATCTTTTTTCGTTTTAGTCGAGAGCTCACCAAAACGCTACAACTTCAATTAATCAGATTTAGCTACATATTTGATTATATTCTGCGTTCACTCTTGTCTATTTGCTTTCATCGAAGTTCTACAGACAAATCTAATTATTTCCAAGTCAACCAAGTCTATACTATTTTCCACATTTAAAAACATGTGTCTCTCTTTCTATTCATTTCTAGCCAAATTCAACATGAGACAGCCCAAATCATGCCTCCTTCAACCTGTTGTTCCTCCGTTTTTAATCCTTGGACTTGGCATATTAGTCTAATTATACAATCCTGGAAGCTAATTGTTTCTCCCTTCCCATTCTAAAAACTATCCAGCTTGTTGAAAAATAGACTGCCCTCTCCCACATCAATCACATCTCTCCCCCCACTGTCTTTTCATCTCCATTACTAGAACCTCATGGAATTCCACTTCACCTCTCCAAAACACAGTCCAAACGGGTGTTCTCTTTCA